ACCCGGAAATCATGTTCCCGGAGAGGCTTCCGGGAACACGATTTCGAACGAGGCCCTCTCGGGCCTTCCTGAGGCCGTCTTGGGGGCCTCCTGGGCCGGCTTTGGGGCCTCTTGGGCCGTCTTTGGGGGGTTCCGTGAGCCTCACAGGACAAACCGTTTGGGCCGTCGTGGGCCCTCTTGGGTCTCTCTTGGGCTGTCTTGGGGCTCGGGGGCGTCTGGGGCACTGTGAGGACCAAGTAAACGAGTATGCTGAAAATGCATGCTTTACGACTGGGAATGGGCCGGTGTTTGCCCTTGAAGACCCTCTTGGGGCCCTCTTCGGCCATCTTCAAGCCGTCTCGGGCCCTGTTGGGGCGCTCTTGAGCGTAGTGGGGCCCTCTTGGGCCTCGCTGAGGCTGTCTTGTGGGTCTCTTAGGCTGTCTTTTGGGGCCTCACGGGCCGTCTTGGGCGGGTTCGTGGACCCCACAGGACGCCCAGGGCGGCCATGCCAACCGGTGGCACCACCCCACCCCCGCCCCCGGGCCCCGTCAGTCTGTCCTACTGCTCCTCTCCAGACCCTCGTTCCCTAACCTCCCGATTATGTTCCCGGACCCCCGTCCCTTCCCCCCAGAGCACCGCAGCAGTAGGAAAGCGTTCCGAAACGGTGAGAAATCATGTTCCTGGGAAGCGTTCAAGAATATGAATCGTACTTCGTCCAAGGCGCCTCGGAAGGCGCAGAATACTCCTCCAAGGCGCGGAATCATGTTCCCGGACCGCCTTCCGGGAACATGATGATGATGGGGACGACCTCCTGAGGGCCTCCAGTGGGCCTCTTGGGGGCCTCTCGGAGGCCTGTTGGGCTCTCCTGGAGGCGTATTGGGGCGCGTTCAGGGCAATTTTTGGGCATCTTGGGGTCCTCTTGGGGGCCTCCGGGGAGGCTCTTAGGGGGCCTCTTTGGGGCCTCTTGGGGCCTCGCGGGGCCCTCTTGGGGCCCGCTGGGCTCGCTTAGGCAGTCTTGAAGCCCTGTCGGGGCTCTCCTGGAACCGTCTTGGGCGGCTTCTGGGCCATCTTGGGCTCTCCTGGGCCGTCTTGGGACGATTTGGGGGGTCTCTTGGGCCGTCTTGGGGCGGTCTTGGGGGCCTCTTGGGCCGTCTTGAAGCGGTTTTGGGAGACCCTTGGACGGTCTTGGAGCGTCGGAACCCTGAAAAAGCGAGAAGGCCCGAAGCCTCAAACAAACAATACAAATCAACGATTTTGGCTTGTCGGCGCTCTCTTGGGAGGCCTCTTGGGATGCCTTCGGGGCCTCATGGAGCTCTCTTGGAACGTCTTCGGGGCTTCCTGGCCATTCCTGAGGCTATCTATACGCGTCTTGGAGCGCTCGCGGGCCGTCTTCGGCGGTCTCGAACTGTTCCTGGCGGTCCCAGGGGCCCTCCGGGACGCTTCGGACGCTCCCGGGGGCGCCCTGCACCCCCCATGGAGATTACAGGCACCGCCCCGGGCCGCCCCCGGGCCCGACTCCGATACATATATATATATACATATATATATATATATATATATATATATATGGAAACATACGTAAGACATGTAGGATTTTGTACACAAGAGAAGGGCAAGCTATAGAAACATACGTACGTCGTCCAAGGCGCCTCGGAAGGCGCCTCGGAAGGCGCAGAATACTCCTCCAAGGCGCGGAATCATGTTCCCGGACCGCCTTCCGGGAACATGATGGGGACGACCTCCTGAGGGCCTCCAATGGGCCTCTTGGGGGCCTCTCGGAGGCCTGTGGGGCTCTCCTGGAAACGTCTTGGGGCGCGCTCAGGGCCATTTTTGGGCATCTTGGGGGCCTCTCGGGGGCCTCCGGGGAGGCTCTTGGGGGCCTCTTTGGGGCCTCTTGGGGCCTCGCGGGGCCCTCTTGGGGCCCGCTGGGCTCGCTTAGGCAGTCTTGAAGCCCTGTCGGGGCTCTCCTGGAACCGTCTTGGGCGGCTCCTGGGCCATCTTGGGGCTCTCCTGGGCCGTCTTGGGACGATTTTGGGGGTCTCTTGGGCCGTCTTGGGGCGGTCTTTTTTTTTTTTTTTTTTTTTTTTTTTTTAAAAAAAAAAAAAAAAAAAAAAAAAAAAAAAAAAAAAAAACTATCAACCCCTGAACTTCTTTTCGATGCTTGAGGACACTGTGCCTCAAGACCCCACTTCGGGCACTTCAAGCCACCTTCCGCGGCCTGCAGTGGCCCGCCCAGGCTGAGAACCCTCAGCAGCAGCAGCGGTGACACGCACACGGGGAGAGGAGGAGGAGGAACTAGAGAACTGCACAGCGGCCTGCTGTTGTTCCATCCAGCCAGAGGCAGAGTTGAACTCTCCGCGCCGTGCGCGGGGCCGGGGAGCAACGGTGCGAGGGTCACTAACGGCGCACCGCCGGGCAGTCCCCACTCGCACCGCGCCCCCCGCTGGGTAGTGAAACCCATGCACAGCGGCCTGCTGACTCCACGCTCGTGAAAGAAAAGGGTGGCGGCGAGCAGTAACTCGCAGCCGAGCTTCGAAGTGTTCAGCTGGGGTTCCTGGGGTGCCCTTACGCCTGGCGGAATGGGCAGCGAGGAACGCATCGATACAGGCGGCAAAGAGAACATTAGACGAACGTGGTGAGGGTGAAAGAAGGAGTGCGGGGAAGAGCCAGGGATACCCCTCAGGAATCGACGACGACGGTGGAAGAATGTGTCCAAGCCAACAATGAAATAGATAAAAGAGACGGGGGCAGCGAGCATAGTGAGCAACTGAGTCGAGGTCACGACCTTGCGCGTGTGGGCACCCCAGGAGGCAGCCTTTCGCCGCCGAATGAAATCGGGTCGAAGTACAGACTGATCTCGAGAGGAATCTGAGGAGCGACACTATCATATACGGCTGAGTTTTCTGAATCACGTAGTGGGCATTGATGAAAAACCTGTCAACCATCTCACGCTGTACAAGGGGAAACCATTTTTGAATACGACGCTGTAGAATACTGTGTGGGTGTTCTCGACGCGACGTGTTGGCCCAGAGCATACCATAAAGTAAATGTTGAAGCTTTTTGTGTTCAGATGGGATGCGTGCTAAGATAGTAGGGGGAGATGGACTCGACGGAGTGCGAGGCAGACTGAAATACCACTCATACAGCCGGCGCATATATGCAAGGAAAGATGAATTCCACCATCCACTGCAAAACCGAACGAAGATACTTTCACGTTCATCTCGCAGGGCCTCCAGCCTCGACAACGTGATACTGAAAGTGCTGCTGCGAATAACATAGCGAAGGCACGTTGCACGGGCAAGAGTCTGAAGGTCCTGAAATTCCACAGGAAGATGGAAGCTAGATAACTGCGTACATAAGTCGTATGAGAGTGAGTTTCGTGGCCCCGCAGTGAGGTACATGACCGCCTCCTTATACATGTGAAGAAGAGCAGGGGATACAGGATGTAGTTGTAGAGTGAAGGACAAGATGGAGACACACATGACTTTGAAGGCCAGCGCCGAACGTGTGAGACCGAGGCCCAGCTGTCTGGTGATCCCGACACGGCGACGAAACTTTGGGGCGGCCTCGCACCACGCAACCATCTCGGCACCACGGCCGATATAGATACCTAAGTATTTGACAACCTCTAAGACCTGGATCTTTTTGAACTCACCCACAAGCAACCGAACCGAGTCCCTCAGGAGGTTCACATCAAGGGAGCCCACGACCAGGATCTGACACTTTTTGAAGTTAAGCCTGAGTCCCGCAATCTTTTCGAGCCGAGTCAGCAGGGCGAGGAGGGGGCCCAGGGAGCGGAAAACGTCTCTGAGACCAAAGCAGAAATCGTCAGCGTAGGCGAAAGTCCTGTCGATGTGCGCCGACGCCTTGAAACGAACCCATCGAAGCAGAGGGTCTGCAGCAAGTACAAAAAGAAGCATACTACTCGGGCAGCCCTGTTTGACCCCACTCGACATGATGAACTCTCCATGGATCCTTCCACCCAGGCAGATGATGGCTATATTAGACATGTAGAGAAGGCTGAAAAACTTGCAAACATAAGGGCATACCTTCATAGTGACTAGCACGTGCAGCATCCACGGGATCGCCAGCGAAGGGAACGCGGCGCAAAAGTCTGTGAGGAAGAGGCAAGAGTTCTTTCTGTCGAGGACGTGTTGTTCCAACCCCCAACCCTCCGCCTCCACAACATTAGTGAGCATATCCCTGCCAGCAACGCACTTCTGTTCGGGCGAGATCAAGCTGCTGGTGTTGGCGGCTAACGAACAAGACATGGCACCAGCTAAGATCTTCACGTCTGTATTTGACATGCTGAGCGGGCGCGTGCAGCTAGGGTGTCGAAGAACATCATCATGCTTATCCCGAGGTTCTGTGCCCTTCGGTAGGAAGACCATGAGGCTCCGCCTCATTTGGGTCGGCAGCTCGTGAACGTCATCTGTAAAGAGGGTAAGATAGACATCGTACAACAGACGGGACGCATCAGGAATCTTCCAGACCCCGTATGGCAACCCATCTTCACCCGGCATACTGTGGACCCGCGATCTCACATAGTCATACCATTCCCCGTATGAAAGCTTCCAGGCTCGAGGAAGGGGTTCAGGGATAGGCTGGATGAAAGCATCAATCTCGGCCCATTCATCGACGTTCAGAGGAGGAGCGGAAAACTCAGCAGACCAATAAGACTTAAGGACCTCGGCGGAGTGGTCGACAGACCTGCAGGGTACACCATTCTCATCATATATGCCAGTCAGACAGGTACGACTCTTAAAGCGTCGCCACAGCTCCTGCATTCGATTGACTCGGTTTTTCTTGGAGGCTTTGACTTCAGGGGAGAGGTCTGCTAGTTCAAGTTCCCGTGCTTCCTCATCAATCAATTGCATCTGGATACTGCGAATGAGACTGCAGAGGCCCTCCAGGCGGATACACTGAAACGTGGTGAGGCAAAAATGCGACTGTAACGTAGGGTAGCATTTAAGTGCACGGTGGATTAGCCAATCTTTGCCCAGTCGCCATCCTCGAAGAGCCTGCAAGGCCCAATACTGCTTAAGCTCGAGTGTGTTGGCAACCTCGTGCTTGACAAACTCGCGCACGTGCGCGGCCGAGGCAAACATCAATTCCTTGAGCTGCTCGAGGCGCTCCCAGGGACCTAGCTCCGTGGACATATCTGCAATGGCGGCCTCCAGGAACCGTTGGAACTCCGGGTGCTTCGAGATCCACTTCGGGATGTTTTTGGGGCCATCTTGGGGCCTGAAGGGCTCGATATTGATGAAAATCGGGATGTGATCGCTAGCCATTTTTGCTTTGAGCTTGCCCAGGACGCCACAGCGTATGTCCAGGTCACGTATGATAGCTTGAGGAAGGGAGGTGTACGCCCGATCCAAACGTGCCGAAAGAGTAATGACCCCATCCCTGACCTCCCGCCTAGTGTCCTGCTCTTGGTAAAATTCAGTGAGGTGAGGAAAGTGTCGTTGAAAAAGCCTGGCCTGAGCGCGATCACCTGCTCTCCATCCCGACCCGTCATACAGCATGCGCCCCTCCTCCTCAGGCACAAAGTTAAAGTCCCCAATCAGGATCCTATGATCGTTCGGGTACTTCTGGAATTCAGACCGAAGCAATGACAGCGCGCGGGAGAACGTGGCAACAGAGTCACTCGTGTTAGGGAGGTGGAGGTTGAATATACTGATGGACCCATTCAGACCAGAGAGACGACTATGGAGAATACGACCAGTAATAATCGGATTATGTGTAATAGTGTCGAACAGCTGACTAAACTCGCTACTGATGATCGTGACGACCCCTCCTTCACGCTGAGAGTCGGGGAAGAACGAGGATCCAATCGACCAGCCCGAGGAAGCCGAGCCCAGCTCGCGATGGAGCTCTCCGATATCTCCTATGTGTCCGTGTGTTTCCTGGCAGCACGTGATAGCGAATCTGCGAGGGAGCGAGAGGCGGAGTGAGTAGCGCGCGCTGGCACGCCATCCTGAACGTTTGACAGAGCTGAACAGACCGTGTGTATTCCACGAACAGATGGTAAGCGGAGCCTTCGGGACAAAGGGAAGACTATTGGGAGAGGGGGAAAAGGGAGGACTATTAGACAAGGCCTCACCACGTTCGTGCGAAGAAAAAGATGGAGGTGTGCGTGTCACTGTGGCCTCCTGGCCACCCGAAGTGCAATCTGAATCAGCGTCGAAAGGGACGCCTGATGGGAACAAGCGCAGCAGCGCGGATGGCGGCAGCCTGGGTCTCCAACCCAAACTCTCTCAGGCCAGCGGCGTCGAGCTCGACGGAAATCGCGAGGTCGTCACCCGAGACCTGGATCTGGGCAATCTCGATGGGTTCATTCTCTGACTTCAAGGCGTATACGAGCCCTCCCAACCCATTGCTGCCAACTTCGATGCCCCTGGGAGCCAACAGGTTGGATACGAGCGCGCGCACTTTGCCCATGGAGAGGAACAGCTGGCGGCCTTTGATGTCCTGGTCTCTCTTGAGCTTGATATTGAGCATGTTCTGCGGGGCGAGGGGGTCAGGATGGCGAAAGACCCCGTCGCGACTGTAGTTCGTCAGGAAGTTCGTGGCGTCTGAGGCGCTCTCGAAGTGGAAGGTGATCTTCTTGGCCACGTCAAAACATTTGGCGGTGATCCGAGCCTGGACATCCTGCGGGGCGTACTGCGACTTGATGGCGTCGGCAATCGTCTTCAGGGAGCGGGCGAGCATCTTGCGAGGGAAGCCGATCGCGACCAGCGTGCAAGTGTTGTCCTGCTGCGCCTCGACCGAGCTGGAGACCGAGGGGGCTGTCGAAATAGTGCGTAACTGTGCCTTGATCTCGGCAATCTGTTGTTGAACTTTGGCGTGAACCTCTGCACCCTGTTCGTCGTCTATGTCGAAGATAGGCACGGCTGTACGTGCTTCCTGGGCGCGGAGCTCATTCGTGATCTGCGTGTGGACCTCACTCTTGAGCGTGGTGAAGCGGTCGTTCAGGTCGGTGAACATGGCGGACTGTTGGCCTTCGAGTTGAGCGACTTTCGATTGAATGTCATTGGTGAGGGTGGTCATATTCACCGTGAGTTGATCACACCTAACAGTCTGTGCAGCGACCTGGTTCTTGATGAGGCCAATGTCGTAGGACTGCGTGGAGAGTTGCGAGCCGAAACCTCGGAGCGCGCGTAGCACTTCGTCGAGCTTCTCGCCGTCGGAGGCCTTCGGGCGCTTGCTCTTGGTGCCAACGGAGCGGCCAGAATCCGAGCGGCCAGAGCGGCTGCGGGACGAGGAGTCCCTGCGTCTGGATTCACTGCTTCCCGTCGAGTCCGATGATCGGGTCCTGTCGGCGGCAGGCATGGCGGCCGCTGTGCAGTGGGAGAAAGGAAAGGAATAGAGAAATGCGTGCAAGCTGCTGAGTCCTGGCCTGGGCAGACCACCTCTGGACCAGCTGAAGAAGCTGCTCCTGCCCAGCTGGCTTGATAGATGTCGTACTTGAGCCAAAATGGCTACGGAGCCGTCTTGGGGCGGTCTTGGGGGCCTCTTCGGCCGTCTTGGAGCGGTTTTGGGAGACTCTTGGACGGCCTATATATATACACATATATAGGAAAGAATTGAAATACGCGGAAGGAAGTGGCACGACTCGGGAGGGCTTGGGGAAGGGGTATACATATAGATACATATACATATATATATAGATATAGATGTATACATATGTATGGAAACATACGTAAGACATGTAGGATTGTGCACACAGGAGAAGGACAATCTATAGAAACATACGTACGTCGTCCAAGGCGCCTCGAAAGGCGTCTCGGAAGGCGCAGAATACTCCTTCAAGGCGCGGAATCATGTTCCCGGACCGCCTTCCGGGAACATGATGATGATGGGGACGACCTCCTGAGGGCCTCCAGTGGGCCTCTTGGGGGCCTCTCGGAGGCCGGTTGGGCTCTCCTGGAGGCGTCTTGGGGCGTGTATATATAAATATATATATATATAGGGAAGAAATTGAAATACGTGGAAAGAAGTGGCACGACTCGGGAGGGCTTGGGGGAGGGGTATACATATAGATACATATACATGTGTATATATATATATATATATATATATATATACATATGTATGGAAACATACGTAAGACATGTAGGATTGTGCACACAGGAGAAGGACAATCTATAGAAACATACGTACGTCGTCCAAGGCGCCTCGGAATGCGCCTCGGAAAGCGCAGAATACTCCTTCAAGGCGCGGAATCATGTTCCCGGACCGCCTTCCGGGAACATGATGATGATGGGGACGACCTCCTGAGGGCCTCCAGTGGGCCTCTTGGGGGCCTCTCGGAGGCCGGTTGGGCTCTCCTGGAGGCGTCTTGGGGCGTGTATATATAAATATATAAAGGGAAGAAATTGAAATACGTGGAAAGAAGTGGCACGACTCGGGAGGGCGTGGGGGAGGGGTATGTAGACATATATATATATATATATATGTGGGAGGTAGAAATCGGGTCTATGCGTCCACCCGCCTCCCCTCCCACGTATCCCACATCTCCCCTCTCTCCCCTTCCACCCTCCTACCTTTCCTCTCCCTCACCTCGTCGTCCTCTGATCTCCCGTCCCCCTCCTCTCTCATCTCCCTCACCTTCTCACTCCCCCCCTCCTCCGCTCTCCTCCTCATTCACTCTCCGTCTCCTCCTCTCCCATCCCCCCACCTTCTCATCATTCCCTCTCTGCTCTCCTCCTCCTCCCCCCTCTCACCTCCCCTCCTCTCTCTCTCTCGCCCTTCAGGGGGCCCCCTCCTCACCGCGGAGACTTGCGAGGCTTTCCAAGAAGCCAGGGGGGGGGAATTGGAGGGGCTAGCAACGCAGCTAGCAAGGCTTTCCGTAATTAGCCACTTGTGCGCAAGACGGTTTCACCATCGACTGGCGTTGTTAGTGTTTCTCTGCCAGCCGACCGCGCTTCGGGATGAAACGGAGCCTATGGGAACAAGTCCACTGGTTTGATGATGAGGCACCACCTGATCGTGACCCAACAAATTATCATAAGGTGAAGACTTGCCAAGGTTGTGGAGATATTGTGCGCGTTGGTAAGATTGCAACGCATGGCATTCCACGTAGCGACAAGAAGCTAAAGGTTTCCGACGAAGAATTACAACACTTGCTAAGCAAGTGTGTTCGAGCGCCGACATATCTTTATGCGACGCCGTTCTTCTCATCAAGTCGTGTTTGTGCGGATTTGACCAAACATTATGGCAGCGCAGAGAAGCTACGTGCCATGACGTTCACCGACGCCGGTCGGCTGAGGTTGTGTTCGGATATCATTAGTGTGCGTAGAACCGTTGGCTTGTCGATTCGCATGTCAAAATCCCGCGAAACCGACAGATTCACACTGGTACAGCGCAGTGCGTTGAAGGCTCACGACGCCGTCACAGCAAAAGCATCACCTCTGGAAGATTTACGCGTTCTCTATATGAACGTCTATTTGTCGAGGACTGCCCTTTCTGAGCAATCAAGACACGCTCTGGCCACGAACGCCTTCCCATTCTTCCAAAACGACACCTTCTCTTTAGGCATGGATGCTTTTCTGGACAAGATTACTGACGTTTTACTGGATCTCCTCAAAGCCACGTCCTTTGCCCCGTATGGGCGGGCCCTGATGCCTTATGCAAACTGGGTGGAAAACCACGCTCTGTACCTCAAGGTTGGCCATAATCTGTGCGCACTAGAGGATGCATTGGTTTTTGCAGCTACTCTTGCCGATTGCTCATGGTACGATCTGACGTCGCCAGCGAAAATGGAAGCCCTCATTGCTGGGGCGCCACACTTTGGCACTTTCAGATCGAAAGAAATTTGGATTGATGCTGCTGAAATCATTCTGCAGAGCCCGGACCGGTATCATCTCTCACCGGCTGACACTTCAAGGGTTTCGGAGGAGCTGCTATTGGTGGGCGAACCTGGACCTGGCCCCCGCCGCGTCATCCGATTCGTCGCTGGCGATCCCGTGTCCAAAGATCCCTTTAGCATCGCAGAAGTTCAGAAGTACAAGGACGTCACTGAGAGCATTTTGAAACACTTTCAGATGCGTTTCAAGATCGATGGGGCCATCCAGGCTTGGTTTCAGGTTTGCGAGGCTTCTAAAGGGGTGACCGATTTATTTTGTGGAACAGGCGTGCCTTACGAGCCGTTCAAGGGCTACGCGCCCCCTTCACAGAAAGATGTATTGGACGCAGAACTCCACGATTCGTCTACTGTTCGCAAGAGAATGGCCACGCTAGCCAATCGTATCTTTAGTAAATACCCGGCACTGGAGAGCAAGCTCCGGGGCAAATTGCCGCAGTAGTGTTCCCACGGCAGCATTCACATGAGAACTGACGTTTGTC